TGCTTTTGGAAGCCCTTCTCAAAAAATTCCAATGGACTCTCATAGGAACATTTGAAAAATTGCCCTGTTCTGACTTTTTTCTAGTTTCCTGTCTAGAACTTGTAATGCTAATTACTCTTGCCTTTACTTCTCCTACACATCTCCTAGTCACCACTCAAGGACTTTCTTTTCCCCCTAGAGATAAGAGTTGTACAATATGGGAGTCTTTTAGATAGAACCACTGAAGGGGTACTCCAACTGCCTCACCCTGTGTCCCTGATCAGCATGGAAGAAGCCCAAGTGGTCTGTATCCCAATTCCCTATTGGCAATTTGGGTAACCTCTTCAGAGGCTGGTGTGATAAGAATAAGAGGTAGATATTGGCTAGGCAGTAGGGTAAAAAAGACCCCAAAGAAAAGCAGCCAATTTCTTGGGTTAAAACTCACAATGTCCTTAGGCCTCTTAGCAACATACTCTGTTCCAAAGGTCAAAAATGTCAAAAATATTTGGGAGCTTTTATCTAATCTTTAAAAGATTTTAGGATTACCTCTTCAGAGGGGGGAATATTAGAGAAGCCAAAAGCCCCATAAAAAATTAATAAATAAAAGAAACGAGTACATGAAGTTATCAGAAAAAAGTGATGGGGAGATATGAGAGGAGTTGGAGGGGAGGGAGTGGACATGGATCTGATCAAAACACCTTATATGCATGTATGAAATTCTCAAATTATTTATTTTTAAAAAACATGGATTTGGTTCATATAGAAACAAAAATAGAGAAAAACATAGTTCAAAACACCACAAAGGAAAATAAAGGCAGAAGTAAGAGAAACTACTAAAGAGTCTCCAAACTCAGTCAACAAAAGAGAACAGAGTCTTGGAGACCTCATTAATAAAACCAATTAGAGAATTCCCTCCGTGCTCCTGGACCACGGCCCTCCTTCTCCAGCTTGCTCCAAACAGGTTGCTGCAATACTTCTTCCCTGAACACAACCTTGAAAATGTTTTTCTACGTTGTGTGCAGAAAGTGCCAAGATTTGCGTCCTGCGGCTGGCAACCAGAGGTAAGTATGGGAAGTAATGTCAGACTTCCATAAGAATAAGAGAGCGGAAGAAGAAAGGGAAAGGAACCAATAATTTTCTTGCAGGCTATAACTTTATATACAATTCTGCCTCAAATGAGAGGTCTGGCAGATTCCTAGCACCAGCCCTGGAAAAGCAAGATAGTAACCTAGATGACTTATGAATTCCAGGAGGGAGGACCCTACATCCAAGAGACCAGTTACATGATCTGCCTCTCCCAATCTTGAGCAAGAGGCTTCCATAATAAGCAACATTCACCAAGCAGGGATCCTCCAACACAAACAGGAACAGGCAATCATAAATCATCAAACATTTGAGAACAACATGAAAGTCAGACACAGAATGAATGAGAAAGAGAAAGAAAGAGAGAACACTAGATAAAATAAAGCATATTAGAGAAAACAAAAGAAAATTCAAATTAAATATAATTAATATCCTCAAAGAGGTCTAAAGAATATCATAACATTAATAGAAAACAGATTGCTATTAAAATGAAATAGGGTTTGGGAAATGAAATAAAGTCAAAGGCAGAAATAAAAGAGACTTCCTTAAAGGCATATTCCCAGATGGAAATATAATAATTTCTTATTGGTGTTAATATTATAAAGATCAATTAAAGTCATAAATATAATTATGTGACTCTTCAAAGCAATTATAACCCAAGGAATGGGTTAATCCAGCACTTATTACTTCCTTGATTTTAACTTGATATTTGGTAATAAAAAGAACTAAAACTTACAGGTGAAAAGATTGAAGGAACGACCTCCCAACTTCAAAATTCAAAATGAGCCAGTTTGTTTGACTGGATTTTATGAACCCTGAGCTCTAAACAACCACGTAACAAGTAAGAGGCCTTAGTCATCATGGTGACCACACGTGTTCTAGTTTCTCTGTAAATCTATCCCCGTTTTGACGGCCGTCTTCATCTTACAGTGCATTGCTGTATCGTGTGACTCAAATCTATCTCCCCATGTGTTCCAGGTACCAGGAATTTCACAGCAAAATGTAGTGGTCCATCATAAGAAGCAGCTCATCCCAGCTGAAGGACACATTTGGGTCCTTACCCTTCCATTGACACTGTATCTTTTTCTTTAGCGTATCCCCACATTTTTGAAAAACATTCAGGATAGAAGCAAACAAGCTATGACAGGAAAACCTCTGTAAGAATCTCTCCCTTCAGGAGTTTAGCATCAGTTATTATCTTACCTTTTTAAAAAGGCTCACTCCTCAGACACCCTTCCCTTACCTGCACTGTTTTCCTCAGACATAACGGTGTGACACAGGGCAAGCAAACGAAGGAATTCATGCACTTTGGGATCCCCCAGCTCAACAGATTCCATCAGACTGTGGTCAAAGAAATGAAGTCTTTTTTCTGTTTGGGATTTGACTGAGACATCCACAGGCTCCCTTTTCTGTAAGACAACACCACCACTAAACAAACTTTTCCAACAATAATCTGTTGGTGGTGGTTATTAGACCTTCTATTTTTTATGGGATTTACGATTACCTGCTTTAATTTTTTAAATTATTTATTTAATAACCACATGCTTAGAAGAAGCATTTCATTACATCAGCATTGACATATTCAAAGGACATGCAGCTACTAATTCATCCCCAGACAATTAGAAAAATGAAAAATCTCCAGTGTATATTCATATATACCAGGTACGTATTTCCTTTTGAGAACACCCACCTGAGCTCCATCTTTGAGCCTTTTCTGTTGACTTCATGAGGTCATCCTTTCCCTCCTCCTCCCCCTCCCTTTAAGACAGTTACATCACTGTTTTAAAAACTTTATGTCTATCCTAAAAGTAACAAAATGTTCTTTTCCCATCACAAAAGATCGTCTCTCTCAAATTCTGTTTTTAAAAATATTTTATTTACTATTTTCACTCTATGTGTATGTATGTATTGCCTGCATGCATGTAAGTGCACTGTCATGCAATGACCCTAGAGGCCAGAAAAAGCTGTCTAATACCCTGGAACTGGAGTTACTGGAGTTAAGGATGGTGTTAGCCAACATGTGGGTGCTGGGAACCAAACTCGAGTCCTCTACAAGAGCAGTCAGTGCTCTTAATCACTGAACCATCTCCCCAGCCCCTCAAATTCTTACTTTATAAGGGCACTACAACTACTCCGTTTACCTTTCCCTTCCTCTGCATCCCCATCCAGGCTGATAACATATGCATTCTACTTTTAACCAAAATCAAAGATGAAATCATAAGCATTTTATTTTATTTAAATGTTGCCCAGGGAATAGTCAGGCTTCTTGCTGTTACTGGAATTCCTTCACTTCAGCTCCATGCCCAGCTCACAGGGACACTGGACTAGAGCCCAACTTTGGCTCCGTCGTGTTTCAGGCTAGTATTTGGAGGATGCTTTTCAGGCAGTTTTATTTCAGTGTGTCCTCTTGGATGAGGCCATGATGCTCTCGCCACACATTCTTAATATTATCGGCCTTTTGTTCAATGTGTTGCTTACAATCCAATCCAATATTCCTCCAAATCTGAACTTTTAGACAGAATCTGTTGCAAATTTAAATTTCTCGGGTTTGAGCATCCTATTTATATGTATCCTTTCTCATATCCTAAGATTCGCACAAGGTCTGCATTAAAGACATATAGCTTCCTGAACCACAGTGTTTTTTTTAGGACGGGGCCTCACTATATAGCCTTGGCTGGCCTAGAACTCTCTATGTAGATCAGGATGGCCTCAAATTCATAGAGATCCACCTGCATCTGCCTCCGGAGTGTTGAGATTAAAGATGTGGGCCAACCTAATGGAGTTTCGGAACAGCATCTGTCAGGAAGGTGGTGCGCAGCTGACCCTCATCAGAAGGCTGGAGAAGGCTGTAAAAAGCCTGCCCAGAAAGCCTGCACTGGGTGGGGCAGGGTGTGCCCAGCACCCACTGCATCAAGCCTCGACCAATACCAGGGTCAGTGTGCCAGCATGGCTAGGGGGCTCTTACTTTTCCCAAGTAATTTTAGTTCTTGTATGATATTGCAGCCTTAAACACTTGGTGCTAAAATGGCACCTGCATCACTATTAAATATAACCTCATTTCAGAGCTGTGCAACGCAGCAAACCTACCAGAACTACATGGAGAAGAGGCCCCAATGCGCACGTACTAAAAAGCACAGAAAAATGAAAGATTTTCTTCAAATTCTACTTGGTGAAAAACCTGACCTGGCTTAATTCATTCTGGCATCAGTATCTGATCTTAAACAGCATGTGTCTTGTTATATCCCCATTTTAAATTTACGAGTGAATTAACATTTGCTAGTGCAAAAATACTAATGTGTTTTATGTTATTCGGCACTTTCTCAAATCTCACTAAATATATCATACAGTAAAATGGCAGATATACCATTATTTTTCTACAACCAAATCTTCTGAATTTCTAACCATCCCGCCCTTGTTTATAACTTTCATTTACATTAAAGTCTTGGAATTGACTCTAAGGTTAAAAGAACCTTGTTTTTAACTACTTTTTAGAAGAAAAATGCAAGATCAACTATCTATTCCAAGTTACAGTTTGTCAACACCTGAGTACAACTGGAGCCAAATATAGACTCTGTTCCTTGAAACCAGATTTATTCTAAAATTAATAATATTGAATAAGAAATATTTATTGCCTTTATAGTAAGACAGACAATATGCTAATACCCTCATGAATTATACACATGCTCATTCTAGCAACTATGAGTAACAAATATTATTGTTTCCATTTTACAGTTGAGAATCTGAATTGCCAAAGCCAGTTACATAGATAGTGACAGAGCCAGGACTAAGAAAAATCCTAGGCTTTAAATACTTTGCTTTTACAACTCCCTAATCTAGTTCTATCTATTTATTTGTTTATTATTTTATGTGTATGAGTGCTATGCCTGAATGTACATGCACCCGTGTCATGCAGTGCCCACAGTGGACAGAAGAGGGCATCGGATCCCCTGGAGCTGGAGTTACAAATGGTTGTTAGCCACCATGTGGGTACTGGGGTTCAAACCTGGGTCTTCTGCAAGAACAGTCAGTGCTCTTAACCACTGAGCCATCTCTCTAGTCCCCCTAATCTAATTTGGTTCTTGATTACCAAATGAACAGGGATATTGAATGACCCTGAAAAGTCCAATGTGTAAAACATTGGTGTCCAGAGAGGTCATGTTAGGTAGTACTAGGGGACCTTTAAGTGATTGGGTGGGCTAATGGCAAGCATGTTCAGCAAATGGTGCTGGCAAAACTGGATCTCCACTTGTAGAAGAATGAAACTAAACCCCTATCTTTCACCCTGCACAGAAGTCAATTCCAAATGGCTCAAAGACCACAATATAAAGCCTAAAACTCTGAAACTCTTAGAAGAAAACATTGGGGAAAACCTACAA